TCTGATTCCAGATCTTTGCAAATTTTGTTGTAATATTTGGCTTTATCTTCTCAAGCTGATCTTTGAAATTTCCTGTTCAGCTCTTGGACGACCTCATTTCTTCCATTTGCTTTAGCATTGCTACACTGGAGAGCAAGTTTCTGTGTCTCTTCTGACATCCATTTTGACCTTTTCCTTTTTTCTTGTCTTCTTAATGACTTTTTACTTTCTTCCTTTATGATATTCTTGATGTCATCCCACAACTCTTCTGATCTTCGGTCTTAGTGTTTAATGTATCAAATCTGTTCTTCAGATGATCTCTAAATTCAGGTGGGATAGATTCAAGGTCATATTTTGGCTCTTGTGGACTTGTTTTCATTTTCCTCAGCTTCAGTTTGAATTTGTATATGAGTAATTGATGGTCTTTTCCACAGTCTGCCCCTGGCCTTGTTTTCACTGATGATACAGAGCGTTTCCATCTTCTCTTTCTGCAGATGTAGTCAATTTAATTTCTATGTATTCCATCTGGTGAGGTCCATGTGTATAGTCGTCTCTTATGCTGTCTACAGAAGGTATTTGAAATGAACAAATCATTGATTTTGCAGAATTCTATCATGTGTTCTCCAGCATCATTTCTATCACCAAGGCGGTATTTTCCAACTTCTATTTACTATGCTGAAAATGACAAATGGAATAGGAAAGGTGTTGCATTCATTGTCAAAAAGAACATATCCAGATCAGCCAGGAGGTACACCGCTGTCTGTGATAGGATAATATCCATGCGCCTACAGGGAAGCCCAGTTAATACCACTATTATTCAATTTTACTCACCAACCACTAAAGCCAGTGAGGATGAAATAGAAGAATTCTACCAACCTCTTCAATCTGAAATTGATCAAACATGCAATCAAGATGTAGTGATCATTACTGGTGATTAGAATGCAAAGGTTGGGAGCAAAGAGGAAGGTCAGTAGTTGGGAAATTGAACGGTTTGATATAACTTCATGGTGCTTTAGGGTGTCATTTTCAGGGGGTGGTTCGTAACTGTTGAAATCGGTTTGTCTGGAAACCAATTCTCCGATGGTTGTTGAATTCACTCTGGAGTCCACATCCCACAGTGTGTAGATAAGTGTGTGCCCATCCTTTGCCTTTTAACACTTTGTTGTTATTAAGTGCCATTGAGGCGGTTCTGACTCATAGCAACTCATTATGGGGTTTACTGAGGAGCAGCTGGTGGATTTTTAACTGCTGGTGGATTTTAACCTTGTGGTTCGCCATCTAATGCTGAGCGGACAATTAACACATTCTATATATACCAGATTAGGTATGAATTTAGCATTTCCTGCAATAAAGTATAGAAAAGAAAAGGGCTATTACCTAAAAAGTGAGTCTCCCTTTATTGAATATGTTCTAGCACATTTGTGTCTGTTTTTTTTTTTTCAATGTTGTACCCTTAGAGATCTCAACAGTGTCTAGCACGTAGTAACTACTCACCAAATACTTGTGGTGTGAATGATTAAAGCACAAAATTTATGATGTTTCAATTAGCTTTTGCTGTATAACAAAGCACTCCAAGAGACTGTGGTTTAAAGCACCGATGAATCAGAACATTTCATAATCCTGTGTGTTGGCTGAGATGCCTCACTCACACTTCTGGACATCAGCTGAATGGCTGAGACAACTAGGCCTCTCTGCCCATGTGGTTTCCATCTTCCATAATGAACACTGTTAGTTGCCTTCAAGTTGCCTCCAACACCTGGAGACGCCAATCATAAGGAAATGATATACTGCATTGTCCTGTGCCATCTCCACGGTTACCTGTTTATATCATCAGACCGAGATGGCCAGGCCTTCCTTCCTAGTCCATCTTAGTCTGGAAGCTCTGATAAAAACCTGTTCAGTATCATAGTAACCAGGATAAATAGCCAATTTGTTTTCACAGGACCTCAGTATTTCAAGAGGGTAAAAGTGGAAGCTGCAACATCCCAGGTAGTTAGGGTTGAAACTCACTTCCAGGGCATTCTATGGGTCAAATAAGTCACTCAGATGAGGTGGGGAAATGGACTCCAATTCTTGATAGGACTTGCTGCAAAGAGTTTGGGGCTAATTTTAATCTATCACAGATGATCAACTTTAGAAAATCTTCTGTAAGGATTTCTTGTGATGGAAGGTAATTGGTCAAGCTGACCTCTGAGCCATTCCAGCTGTGAGTGTACCAGGCTGAATGGATCTCATGTAGTGTTGTAAGAGAGAACTATTTCTAACAAGTGGGTGTCTGGGACCTTAACCTCTACTTCTGATAATCTCAAAAATAATTTACTAAATAATTATTTTCAAACTATTATTATGATCTAGAATTTGCATTTTTTTCTTAAGTTTTTCCAATGCCCACCTGACTTTTGGGAGTGTGGTGGCTCTGTAGAATAAGCACAGGACTGCCAACCGGAAGTTCTGCAGTTTAAGCCCACCAGCCGTTCTGGGAGAAAGATAAGGCTTTCTGTTTCCACAAAGATTTAAAAGGAAAGAAACAAAAAGCCTAGGAAACATATAGGGTCCCTATGAGTTGGAGTCAACTCAGTGGCACTTAACAACATAGGAGCTCTGGTAGCGTAGTAGTTATGAATCGAGCTGCGAACCTCAAGGCCAACAGTTCGAAACTACCAGGCGCTTCACGGGAGAAAGATGAGGTTTTCTGCTCCCGTAAAGATTTACAGTCTCGGAAACCTTGTTCAGGGTCGCTGTGGATCGGAATCGACTCAACGGCACTTAACAACAACCATTGTGTAATTAACTTTACTTATTATTCTGGTTTAGCAGCAACATTCTCCTTTGCATGAACATGACATAAACTCCTCTCATTCATACATCAAATAGTAATTTTTAGAAGTCACTTCGATCAATCATGTAAAATTCTTATTTTTCCTCTTTATCAGAGGAGAATGTTTATATTATTGCCGCAGAATTTACTGCTACTTACTATTAAAGTTGCATCTCTACTATTTTTTTTTGTAATATATACTATACTTAAGGAGCTCTGGTAGTGTAGTGGTTACGAGTCGGGCTGCTAATCTCACGGTCAGCAGTTTGGAACTACCAGCGGTTCCGCGGAAGATAGATAAGGCTCAGAGCGACCCAGCACAGGGTTTCCGAGGCTACAAATCTTTACGGGAGCACAAAACCTCACCTTTCTTCCTCATAACAGATAGTAGTTTCGCTGCCGACCTTGAGATTAGCAGCCCAATTCGTAACCATTACTATGAGTCGAACAGACTCCAGGGTACTTAATAACAACAACAAACACTGCCAGACAGAGCTCCTTTGGAAACCCTATACAAGGTCCTTATGAGTCAGAACCTACTCGATGGCACTTACTGTTTTCAAAGATCCAAATCTCACAACCATTTTGTAAATAAAGTCAATTTATTTTTGTGTAATTAATGTGCTAGGTCTTAAAAGTATTATTGATAATTAACTGGAGATCAGGTAATATTTCCAGGAAATCTTGTTCTATCTTTCCTTTTTAATTCCCAAATTAAGCCTAGGGTAATATTAGTTCGAACTAACAATTTGCTTAAATCACCTGATTCCCAGTATTAATTTTTCTTAATCATTGGTTTAAGATTAACATTGTCCAATAGAAATATATACATGCATTTGTTTCTATAGCCACATGAAAGTAAAACAAGTAATTAATAATATTTTTAAGTTATCCCAATCTATATCCAAAACACTAGCAATTTCAACCAACATAAAAAAGATATTTCAAGTGCTCTATAGCCATACGTAACCAGTGACTACAGCATTGGACCTGAAAACACATTATCCTAGTTTCTAAGGTGCCTAGCAGGGTAGATATTCAGAGAATGTTATTGAAAGGTGCATCAGAAAGATAAAGGGGTTCTTCTATGAGCCCCTGGAAGCTGCTTCTTAAATGCTCAGCAACCACTTTCTTTAAATTCTCCAGTTTGGGGAAAAGTGGAATAGGATCATGTTCATTCTGGCATATCCAACTAATGAGTTGGCTTCCTGACTCGCTGAATCATCTGATGTTGACTGATGACCCTAAGGTGACTCAAAATGTAATGTGAACCAAATTTGCCTTTCAAGTCGTCTTTCTGTTTTAATTTCCCTCTTTTTGTCGTTGGATGACTCATGCTTCCATCCTATGAAAATCCAGCATTGAGCCCAAAACCCTGGTGGAAGGAGGTGAGCCCACTTTCAATCAGATCTCCAGCTCCTCTTCACAACTGTTTTGCCAGCTTCATTCCAGAGGCTGCACTTCCGACGGAGAGTAATCTTAAAACTGTCAAAACAAAAAAATTTAAGGTGGTGTTGGTAGCAGTAGTAATGATGTGGTTTGGTAATTTGTTTGAAAAAAAAATGTAATCTTTTATTTAAAGTTCTTTCAAAATGTAGGCCTACTTCACAGTCCCGTCAGTCAGTACCTTCCCCATAGTGGGTTTTTCCTTTTCTGGGAGGAAAAGTTTCCAACACCGCCCTCCCTCCATGATAACGCCCTTCCGGTGGCACGACAGAACCCTCTCCGACAACCTCTCTGTCCGCAGCCCGTTCCCTCTAGCTGGAATTTAACGACAAACCGACTTTAAGCTACTAGGGAACAAGGCCAAGACCCCACCCAGATCCCCATCTTCCCAAAGTGGAGGGTGTGGTCCCAGGTTCAAACCCCGCCCACGGAACTCAATCCCAGCCGGTAAGAGAGAAGAAGTGCAGTAAGCCCCGCCCACGACATCTTTTTCCTTTTTTGTTGGGCCGGTTGGTTGCCCATCTTCGTTATCCCGTAACCGATTGGCTCCCTCCTCCCGCGCCAGTCCCCGTCTCTCCGGGTCGGGGAGGGAGAGTTACGCCAAACTGGGCGGAGAGTCGGCTGGCCTCTCTCCTTCGCTCGTCTGGGCGGCGGCGCCGGCGGTAGCAGCGGCGGCAACTGGGGACGGGGCGGGTTGCGCATCACGGGCGCGGAGGCAGGAGAAGCAGTCTCATTGTTCCGAGAGCCGTCGCCACTGCAGGTCCTTCAACTCAGTCGGTCCGGCCCCTCTCGGTCCCTCCCAACCCCCACAACCACCCTCGACTCGGAGGAGAAGCGGCCCCGGCGGCGGCAGCAGCTACAGCATCATCTCCAACCCGCCAGCCATGGAAGACATGGACCAGTCGCCTCTGATCTCCTCGTCCTCGGACAACCCGCCTCGGCCGCAGCCCCAGTTCAAGTACCAGTTCGTGAGGGAGCCCGAGGACGAGGAGGAAGAGGAGGACGAAGACGACGATGAGGACGAGGATCTGGAAGAGCTGGAGGTTCTGGAGAGGAAGCCGGCCGCCGGACTGTCGGCGGCTCCGGTGTCCGCTGCCCCCGCAGCCGGCGCGCCCCTGCTGGACTTCGGAAATGACTTCGTGCCCCCAGCGCCCCGGGGGCCTCTGCCGGCGGCGCCCTCCGCCGCCCTGGAGCGGCAGTCGGTCTGGGACTCGAGTCCGGCGTCGTCGACGGTGCTCTCGCCGTCCCTGCCATCCGCTGCCGCAACCTCACCCTCCACGCTCCCCGAGGACGACGAGCCCCCGGCCCGGCCTCCACCTCCTCCCCCGGCCGGCGTGAGCCCCCAGGCTGAGCCCGCGTGGACCCCGTCCGTCCCGGCTCCCGCCGCGCCCCCCTCCACCCCGGCCGCGCCCAAGCGCAGGGGCTCCTCGGGCTCTGTGGGTGAGTACCGCGCCCTCCTGCCTTGCGACGCCCCTCCCTCTTTTGTGTGCCGCCTGAGATCCTGGGGCCCGACCTCTCTCTGCTAGTTCCCTGGGGGGCTTTGTTTGCGGACTTCGGGGGGAAGGCGGCTCCCTAGTGGGAGGCGCGGGAGAAGGGTGGGGCGGCCTTGGAAGCCCGGGCTTTATTGTCTGCCTCGGTTTCGGGGAGCACGTGCACCCCGCCTGCTCCAGACGTCCTTTCCTCTGGTCCCTATTCCGCTGCGTCCCGGAAGTTGGGCCATCCACCCATAGTAGGTGTGTATCCATGAACTAGGCTTGGTTTGGGGATGGACAGGCCTTGGCGCTCCAGTCCTTTAGGAAGGACTTTTGTATCCATTCGATGGTTGTGGATTTGGGTTTGGGTTTTGTCTACCCAGGACCCCTGGTGGCACATTGGTTAAGCGCTCCTCTGCAGACTGAATGGTTGACAGTTAAACCTACCAGCCGCTCTGCGAGAGAAAGATATGGCAGTCAGCTTCCTTAAGGATTACAGCCTTAGAAACCCTTTGGGAAATCTACTCTGCTGTATAAGGTCGCTTTGAGTCGGATTCCACTCGAAGGCAAAGAATTAGGATGAGTCTGTCTACCCGTCTGGATTGCTTCTAAAGAGAAGGTGCAGTTTCACCACGGGTCTAATTCATTCAGCCCTGGGCCCCCCTCCCAACCCCGTTACTATTGTTGGCAGTACCTCTGTGCTGCAGACCCCCACCCCCACTCCTTTAGCGCTTGTGGGGAGCCGGCCTAGTGGAAAAATGTCTATGTTGACTCAACTGCAGTGAAGGGAGAGCGCCTCCAGTGGTGTGGCGTGGAAAGAATTGGGAAGGAGAGCTGCCAAACGTTGTTTCCACCCGGCTTACCCGGGTTGTGATGTGGTGACTCCCCAACAGCTAAACTGGACCAAGGAAACGGGATCTGAGGGGCGCAGTTCAGCAGGGTTTCAGTTGCAATTGTTAGGGTGAAAAGGCTCAGTCTCTTACTTCACCATAATTGAATCTTAGAGCAGAAAAAAAAAGTCAAAATGTTTGACATTACTATAAAGGAAACCTGTTTATTCTTTGCTGTAAACCGGCTAATAGAACTTGTGACAGATTTACCACGAGGCTTTATCTTTTGAGACAGACATTTCCACAAATTAATAAATACTATTTCTTGGAAGTTTTATTTATATGGTCTGTTCTCAAATCTTAATTCATATGAGTATCTGTATTAATTTTAGGAATATTGTTTTATTACTCTGTATCTTGGAACATTTTTTATTTAGGAAGTGGAAAAATCAAGTTTGTTAAGAGACTGGGCGACTTATTAGAGACATTCGTAAATAACTTTTGGGACAGATGCCCCACTAGTTCTAGGGCACTTTCTGTAAGTAAAAAGGTCAAGGATCAGGTAGTGCAGTTGCTTGCTGAGAATTTTTCATAGCCCTGTAGAATTGTGGAAGTGGTTTGTTTTCTGGAAAAAATCCATCACAATATGTTTTATCCCTTCCAATTTGCTCCTGCTCTACCATGGGAAAAGAAGCTGACAATTGTGGATGCTTCTGAATAACATTGTAATATTGAAATGGTCCACTAATTAATACACTAACATTATTAGAAGATGAGAAGTAATTCAGGGTTTTTCTGTATCAAAAAGATACATTTAAGGAAAAGCGAGGTGATAACAGAAAAATAAGAAATTTGCAAAAAGGAAATATATTGATAAGCACACCAACTTGCATCTTGGATCCTTAAATAGCAGCTAAGAGAAAGGTTCTATTCTTTGAAGAGTGCTGATTCAGAGGATGACAGCATTCTCTTAGAATCTTGACTGATGGAATCCGAAGTTTAGGAGATAAAGGCAAGAAAATATATGTATTGAGGGATTGTACAATTCCCTAATTCTGTATTGATAATGTATTTGGAAACTTTAGTTAAATGGCAGGAACATTGTGATTATGGTTATATTTAAGCCATTTCAGTGAGTCTAGACTTCTTAACATGGAACCATAGTAGCCTCCTGGGTTCTGAGTTGGGCTGCTAACTGCAAGGTCAGCAGTTCGAATCTGCCAGCCAATCCTTGGGAGAAAGACCATCCTATACATTGTTGCTGTGAATTGGAGCTGACTGTATGGCATACAACCACAAACCAACCACCATCAGACTTCTTAACACCATTTGTTCATTAATTCAATAAATTATTGTGTACTTGACAAGAGGGAGGCGCTACTTTAGGCTATGAGGATATAGCAGTAGGCAAGATACATGTGCTTCCCTGGGGTTGGGGACATATACAGATAATCACATAACAGGGTGATGGCACAGAGAATGATTAATTAGGATGTGTGAAGTGTTCCAGGCAACTTCTAGGGCAAAGACTTAAAGCTTTTGAGAATCTGTAAAAAGAGTAGTGAGTAAACTAGGGGGAAAGTGGTATAAAATGAGGATGGGGAGGTGGCCTACAAGCAGATTCTTTTTGGTGGCTAACAGGCCATGGGAGAAGTTTGGCCATTTTAAGAAAATATTATTTCTCTAAGAAATAGGCTCCTTTTGAAGATTCAAAGAAACTGTTGAGGACTGATACGAGCAAAGTTAATGGGGGTAAAATATGTGCAGAGCATGGTTAGGAATAACGCAGCCTGGTTTAGTTTATCAAGTATAGTAAATTGTGGACATTTGTACATTTAATGTTGCCATTCGACATTGTTTTTGAGTAAATTCTAATTTCCATCAGTTGGTAAAGTGATACTTTTGCTGTGTACTGTTATAAAGCTTGGAGCACATTTGATTCTCTCTGAATGAGAATCAAACCTCTCTTTATTTGATGGCCCTCAACGAGATGGATCAGCCAGGTGGCATCATTGATGGCGTCAAGTGTGGCAGCGGTAGTGAGGTTGGCCCAGGATCGGGCATTGTTTCATTCTGCTGTGCATGGGGTCGCTATGAGTCGGTTCCGACTCGATGGCACCTGACAACAACAACAACATTTTCATGGGGAAACACGTGGATTCAAGTTAAAACGGTGGTAGATTAACCAAGGTGTTGAGGATATGATAGCACAGGAACTCTAGAAATAGATTGGAGAGAAGTACAAACATTTTGTTTTTTAATGTTTAAACATGACTGACTTAGCCAGTTTCTGGGCATGCCCTAATCCAGTGATATGACTGAAAATCTGTGATGGCTCTTATGCTTTGCCATCCATAGTTGATCTTTTTTTATATTATGAAACCAAAAGTGTTTTAAATTGTGTTTCTGAAATAGGAAGTTATTTCATTACTTTTCACCTCTTTGATAATTTCTGCTTTAGGCATAGGAGAGCCATTGAGGAACTATCAAACTGAGATGTGGCATCATGAAGGACGTGGTAGAAAATTAATTGTGACAATACAGGCATACCTTGGAGATAATTGCAGGTTTGATTCCAGACCATTGCAATAAAGCAAATATCGCAATAAAGCTAGTTACACTCGATTTTAGTTTCCTAGTGCACATGCGTGATGCTTACACCTGGTGGCACTGGACTGCTAACTGCAAGGTCGGTAGTTCAAACCCACCAGCTACTCTGAGGAAAAAAGATGAGGCATTCTGCTTCCGTCACCATTTTCAGCCTGGGGAATCCTATACAAGGTTGCTATAAGTCAGGATCTACTCGATTGCCAAGTGGATTTGATTGTTGGTTTGGTATTCTAGTAAATGTGCAATAACATAAAAAAGTTTGTTATATTTTAAGAATTACCAAAATGATACACACAAATGCTGAGCACATGCTGTTGGAAAAATGGCTCCTATAGATACAGTCTTGCCACACACCTTCAGTTTGTACAAACTCAACAGAAGAAACACTGTCTTTAAGCGCATAGTAAAGCAGAGAGCAATAAGATGAGGTATTCAAGATGGATTGGAAAGAAAAGCAAGTGAACTATTTAGAGAGATTTTGTACTAGTTCTGAGAGAAGTGGTCATAAGAAGCACTGATGATAGGATAAGCACTGGACTGCTAACCACAGTGTTGGCAGTTCAAACACTTCAGCTGATATGTGTGAGAAAGATGAGGCTTTCTTCTGTAAAGATTCATAGCCTGGGAATCTCTATACAGTCAGAACCAACTTAGTGGTAGCTTGCAATAACAACACCGCTCTTAAGATGTGAGGGAGTAGAATGTGTGCATAAAATAGAATGTAAGAAGCAATACTGTAAGCGTTTCTGAATTGGTTAGAAGTATTATTTTAATTGATTGCAGTTGTTTGTTTTTATGGTTAAGATTACTAAAGCTTTATGAAAGAAGATTTGATAGAATTTGTAGAAGTCATGGATATAAATACCATAAAAAGAATCTTAGTATTTAGTCAGTTTCAGAAACCACATAAAATTATTCCTTGCAATGAAAATTAATATACAACTGAATGTTGCCCAGGGCTTAAAAATTATTATTTTTAAATCAGTAGTGTTAAGAGTCATGGAGTTGGTTCCAATTTATAGCGACCCTGTATAGCATATCTGAGGCTTTAAATCTTCAAGGGAGCAGAAAGCCTCATCTTTCTCACTCAGAGCAGCTCACAGGCTTGAACTGCGAACGTTGTGGTTCTCGAAGTTCAGGGCTTACCATAGGCACTTATTATATCATCATGTATTTGTCAGAGTAGCACATATTAGAAATTGTAAAAAATGTGAGAGACGTATAGTTTAAATCTTCAGTTCTTAAAGCCCAAGTAAGTAGTGATGACAGTCTCAGGAAATAGATGCCTCAAAAACAAAGGGATGGCATGCCTTTTTATTTTTATCTAGGAAATATAGCAAGAAGTAGAAGTGGTGAATGTAGAGATTGTGAATAATTTCTCTTGTTAAGGATTTTTAATTTTCTCACTAGGGAAAAATGGGAACAAGTGATGTATTCCTTACAGACAAGGTGAATTATAAACCTCCAAGGAAGCTCAATATTAAATTAAGGTCCTTTTAGTACCTTCTCAATACCTTTTTAAAGTAAG